CCCCCCCCCCCCCGAGAGTGGGAAGGGAATGATGTGGGGATTTATCGAAAGGAAGAGAATAAAGATGGCTTGTGAAGGGGGGGGGGGGGGGGGGGGGGGGTGAAGCTGGCGCGCGCTCAGGACGAGTGCGGATTAGAACGGGTGGGGACATCAGCAAAACGCTTGTCAGTTCTTGAGTCGCCACACTTTCACACACTTTGAAGGCACGAGTGTGAAGACAAGCAGCGAATCTAAACAAAAATAACAATCAATAACCACATAGGACTCGTTCATCGAGCGCAAACATCTCGATGAGGCTAATATTGATAATCTGCGAGATTTCTATACCAATCAAATGACCACGAAAAAGGTGAACAGAGGAGGATGAAGAATTGCTGCAGGAAGCAGGGATTCTGGGCTCTTCAGTGATCAGCACAGCAGATTTTGGCATCCTCAGAGGGGTCCACCCCCATCCCAACCCAACAGTACCCCTCGGAAACAGTTTAGCTACTGTTTTCGGCCAGGTCTCGGTACTTGTACGCCGTGCACTACCGATATTCGTCGCTTTACTGCACTCATATGTGCACCTATATCTGAGCAGCAGGGTGAATAAAACGAAGGTTATTTATTGGAAATCGCATTCATTTGGCATGGGTAAAAGATTTCCTTTCGTCTAGAAAACAGTTCACGCCCGCTAACAATTGTAACTCTTCCTTCAAACCAGTAACCTCGGGAGTCCCACAGGGTAGCGTACTAGGTCCACTACTATTTTTAGTCTACATTAATGACTTGCCATCCTGTGTCTCATCCCGAATTAGAATTTTTGCTGACGATTGTGTAATTTACCGAATAATTTCCTCTGTCAATGACCAGAAAGCTTTGCAAACTGATCTAAATACTATTAATGCATGGTACTCTTCCTGGCTAATGACCCTAAATTGCTCTAAAACAAAGTTTATGTCTTTTACTAATCACGTACCCCGGATTCCTACCTCCTATGTGTTAAATAATAATACTGTTGACCTCGTCTCCACTTATAAATATCTTGGAATTCATTTGCAACCTGATCTGTCATGGCACTACCATATAAAACTCACCCTGGCGGCTGCTAACCGCTCTTTCGGATTTCTCAAGCGTAACCTTAAACAGGCTCCTCCTAACATACGCAAACTTGACTTTTCCACACTAATACGTCCAAAATTAGAATATGCATCAGCCATTTGGGATCCCGAACATGCTTACATCATAAACGACATTGAATCACTGCAAAATCGTGCCGCTCGCTTCATATTTTCAGATCATTCACGTCATTCCAGCGTCACAGCACTAAAACGCCGAGCAGAGCTACCCGAACTACTCCATCGTCGCAAACTTTCACGCCTATCTCTTTTCCATAAACTTTACCACCACGCGTCACTTCACGGTGATTTCTTCGAGCCACCTGCCGTTATTTTTCCACGCCGCGATCACCCCTACAAAGTTAAACGCATAACCTGTAAGTCATCTGCCTTTTCCCGGTCATTCATTCCACGTACCACAATCGATTGGAATAATCTACCATCGCACATTGCCTCAGAAAAAGACACCACGAAGTTTCAAGAACAAATTCAAAATACTGATGCCATCTATTTTTGCTGTTTTACATTGTTGTTTCATCTTTTCCGGAACGTGCAGAGCAAATGTGTACTATTTTGTTTTTACCTTGACTCAGCTTTATTGCAGTGTGATGAGTGAGTGTATGTTTTTTTTGTTTTTTTTTTAAATTTTATTCGTTTTTGAGTGTATCCTTTATTTTCTTTTTATTATTAAGTGTATTGATTGTTTTCTAGTATTCCCATATGTTGTTCAATGTGCACTAGTTCCTATTGAAACGATTTATGTACCCCCCCCCCCCCTATGTAATACCCTCTCACGAGGGCCTTTAGGGGTAATATGAATAAATAAATAAATAAATTACTCAGCTTTAATTAATTTTGATCGTCTACATGCACGCATGTAGGCATTGGCCCAGTGTTAGTGCGTAGATTTTGACGTCGTTCTTTGTTTTTGAGATTTTCTTCATTGACTTGGCACGTAAACTCCCTGCAGACAAGCGCCGTTTCCGTGTTCGCGCTAACAGTGTCGGACAGTGCACATAAATACATGTACTAAGTCATTTTAGCACCGTGTTAAATGCCATGAATTTGAACGAAAAAACACCGTAACTGACCGATAACTTCGTCTGCGTGCGTGGAAAGTGTCCCAAGTCATCTAGTACGTACGAATTATTTATAACATTTATTCTTATAATCAAGCGCAAGGCGAAAATGCACTCACTTTTTTATATATACATAAATGCGTGGCCTGAAATCAATTTCATCCTGGTGGCTGTCTGCTTCAAGTTTAAAATGCATACTAGCGCAAATGAACCTATGACACATATTGTAATAACTCTATGCCGTTGTCTACAAAGGTAGCTGTGCTGCCGCAACCAGCCGGTATTTCAAGTTTTGAGCCGCTAGACGATGACATCGGCACTTCAATTATCAAGGTGGCGGCTCCCCCGAAAAAAAAAAAGTATATATAACGCAACGCTATTGACCACGATGGTTCTTTGTCGCCGCGTAATTTCAAGGCTAAAAGCTGACGTTTTATTTCAGTCTCCTTCACACAACTTGATTACGGAGTTGCGGGGATCGCATTGTTGGCGTTATCAGCAATGCGATCCACAGGATTTCGTGATCACGGTTTGCGATTCTTGAGGACGATATTTAAATGCTGCGAGACGAGCACTCCGTGAGCATTTGATTTGGGCTAGTGACAATCAATTCCTCGAGATGCATTCGGGTATACTTTGTCTCATCCTACGATGGACTAAAGGCCAAAGTCACGGGCCGCCAGGTCCAATCACGTTCCACGCCATACTATAACACGCTTAACATTGATTAGGGGTGGACGAATAATGCTCGAATCCAAAAGCACCGCATCGTTTCTATAGCTTCGACGCTGCAAAGAGCCTATAGCTATATATGTCGCGGCTTTCTTTGCAATGTAAGATCGTTGAGTCACTCAAGGCTCTTCGATTCAAACCACTGCCCACCCGTCCCCTCATCAGTGATCCGAGACGAGGGCACCGATACGGTCATCGAAACGAAATACCCATCAATTTCTAAGTGGTCCGTGATTGGATCTGGCGGTCCGTAGCTTTTGCCTTTGGTCCATCGTAGGTTGAAACAAAGTGTAGTGGCTCGTGCACGGTGGGGAACTCGGCGCCTGCACTCTGTGCTTTGCCAACCGCAGCGCGGGGCTATAAAAAACATTGACGGCATTACATAATTTGTTCTAGATCCCGGGGCCGCTGGTTCTGGCTGCTATTGGCTACTTGCGGATCCAAAACCGTCGCCGTGATTTTCCATCCACTATTGGCCAAGTGCTCGCTATGACGTCTTGAGTACGATGAATTACACTTTAGATAATGAAAATAAGGGCAATGTCATAATGCCAGTTTGATGGTGTTGGTGTAAGGGCGGCTTGAAGTTTCCAGTGTGCTTTTACTCGCACCATCGAAATTGTCGCATGGATAAACCTTGAAGGTGACGTGAAGAGGGAGCCAATATACGCTCACAAGTGCTTGGTTCTGCTGACGTCTCATTGACTGCGGAACTTCGCTACGCGGCCTACGGCCCACGTTTTTTAGGCTGGCAGGCAGTTGAAGGGCGCTGCTTGCTCCATTAATTTTTTTTTACTGCTGTTCCGTGGAGACAAAGCAACTAATGTCAAGATATAACTCTAAGCGCAATTTCCTGAAGGGAAAATTGGTGCGCCTTTAAATTATGCAAGATGAATTTTATCGGCAAAATTAGATGAAAGCTCGAAGGCGAAAAACGGTCATAGCATGCGTTCGTTGTTGATAATAGTGAGTTTTAGTATTGCGTATACGAGCAAACGCAAGCGTTGTGCGTTTGCGTTAGCGTTGCGTTCTCCACGCTGCTCATGCGTGAAGAAGCCCTGCGCCCGTCCAAGTCCGCAGTTCGGGCTCCGGGCACGCGCAGTGTGGAACATTCAACGCAAACGCTCAGGGCTTGCGTTCGCTCGTATACGCAATACTAAAAGTCATTATTAGTGAGCTTTGTTTCACCATAAGCGCAAGCGAAGCAGACGATACAGGAGCGAGCGCCATGCTTTGATCTGTACACCGTGCCCTGTGCGCTCGTACAATGAATTTGCCGTCCTCATTCAGGTGGCATGCTATTCGCTTTTTCTCGCGTGAGTCGAAAAGTGATAGCCGCCAGTGTGCGAAGAGTTCCCAAACACTTCCGGTCCCGAAGTAAACGGCAGGTTTTGCAGCATTTGCGGGATCAAATGTACGCGCTGTCTACGAGGAATAGTCGCTTATTGGATGGTCAGACGTAATGCAATCTTATGGTAAAAAAAGAAAATCAATAAAAAAGATGGGAATTATACGTGAACCGGATGTGTGCTAGGACTTCCTGATAGATGGCACCACTGAGGTGGTTGTTATACAAAATAGGGCAAATATAGCTTCAGGCTTGCTCGTACGCAGGCCGATTGAAATGAAATATAGTTTTTACAAATGACCTCATAACGTGTCTCCATGGTTCCGTGTCATCAAGATTTTTTTTTTTTCTGGTGGATGACACTTAAGAGCTGGTTGCGGGCAAGCGCAGGGAATAACGCGCACAAATATAGCGTTTAGCGAATACCAGAAATATGTTTAACTAAAGTGATGTTCTCGCTTGTTGTTTGGCATGATTGTCATTCGTCGCTCTAATATACATGACTTGCACATTACGTTATCGCGGCGTGCTGGCGGTCATTGTATAGTTGTCAAGAAAAACGAAATCGGGAGGGGCAACTGCACGCCGCCGAAGGTACGCCCTGAGCAGAAAGGCCACCGGAATGACCGCTGACTTGACGTCGATGCAAACCACGTGTATTTACCCTTCCTACTAATACTGAGAGGTGTAAATAACAATCATCGCTGAATTACGACGTTATAAACAACCCCACGAGTCGCTGACCTGCATTCCACGGAAGATGGTGAGGAAAATAATGATCCAGCTGATTGCGTAGGCCAGCACGAGGGTCGGCTGAACGTCTCCGACGAGCTCAATGTCGCTGCTGAGGTCAAGCACGTACTTGTTGTAGAAGACCTCTGTGGACGACGCGTTCGCGTTGACGCAACCGGCGAACAACGAGCTGTAGTCCTGCTGCGATATGAAGACCGTCTTGTTCCCGTAGGTTACCGGGACCAGCGAACCTGCACCTGTGTCGTTCACGCCAGCGAGCACGATGCTCTTCCGCACGCTGTCGCAAAGGCGGTCTGTGCTCTGGCGCGCGAAGCAGCCGTCCAAGGACACCCCCCACCAATGGTAGCACTCGTTCCAGGGCAGCGGGTTTCTGAACGACGCGAAGAAATAGATGATGGCGTACGTGACGACCATCTGGTAGTAGATGCTGATCACGAAGGCGGCCCACATCATGGCGAACGCGTTGCCCTGGAACATGGGCGATAGCCGGAAGGCCCCCAAGGGACCATGGCCGGAGAACTGGCCCAGCAACAGCTCGAGGAAGTAAACGGGCCGCCCAATAAGCATGGTGACCAGTATGTAGGGAACCAGGAAGGCCGCCCCGCCGTTCTTGTAGCAGACGTAAGGGAACCTCCACAGGTTGCCGAGGCCGACAGTGTAGCTGAGGCAGGAGCAGAGGAACTGCCGGCTGCTGGCGAACCTTTCTCGCTCCATTGCTCGGCTCACTGGTCCGCTGATGGGACCTCCTCGAAGGACTCCGCGAAGTCCAGGCAGCTCAAGAACGCTACAACACGAGGACCGAGAGAAAATCTTCCTCTTCGTTATGAGCACGTGCATTGGCGCATTCACAATAATTTAATGGAGCTTAAAGGGATGCTGAACCAAAGAATTTAGTGTCCATAATAAGTTGCGCACGTTCTTCCCATGAGCCAGCAGCCGCCGATGTGCTCGAGCACACGCAACGAAAATGATGTCAAAGACCTCCATTCGCGCTTAAAGAGGACAGTGAAATCAAAGTCCCTTGACAAACACATCGAGGGGCTTTAAGTGAAATGCGTGGGCTTCGGGCCAAAGGAGAATAAAGACAGGCTTTTCATCTCTACAAGTGAAAGCTACGTGCTTGTTAGACCAATTAATCGCTTACCTTTTACACCAGACACCACTGTGTATATGAAAAACTTGTCTTTTGGCCCGAGGCCCATATATTTCCCTGTTATCTTAACCGCGAATGGAGGCCTTTGACGTCATTTTTGTTGCGTGTGCTCGCGCACATCGGCGGCTGCTGGCTCGTGGAAAGAACGTGCGCCACTTATTATGGACACTAAATTCCTTGGTTCAGTATCCCTTTAAAGAGGTACGGGAACGAAATGACGTGAACGCGAGCTCTCTACCCATCGCTTCAAAGTCGGGCAGCGAGAAGGGCAATGCGTATCGCGCTCGTGATGTCAAGAGTTCCTGCACGGCCAAGGATACTGCAGTTGCGAGCCTAGCCGCTTGGTGGCGTCAACGCGCAAGAATCTCGCCTAGTAGTAATATCCGAGGACTGTGCGCCCTAGAGCCTAGACATGCTTGACCATAACGTAATTTGCGGCCATGCCGGTATCTTATGTGCATGGGCGTTCGGTTCACCACGTCAGTTTCACACCGCAGAAGTAGCAGCTCGAGGGAACAATAAGCATGTTTATCAGAAACGAACGCTATTTAACTAGATATGTTCTAGCTTTTTTGCCACTAGAGGATGCTGCAGTGCTAAATTCGTTTTGGTTTTAGTCTCTAAATGTGGATCCCACCACCTACCGACGGAGAGTGGTGAAGTTTACGCGATATTGCGGCATTTCATTGGTGGAACCCCAGAACACTCCGCCACCAGCCGGACTTTTTTTACTTCGCTTCTTAAAGGAGCTGTGCAACAATTTCAGGGCTTTGCTTAAATAATTGTGGAAGTTGAGGCCGGACACTCCTGCAGTGAACTACAGAAAACAGATTTTGCCTAGATACCCTAGTTTTTATTTAAAAAAAAATGAAAGCCGTTTACAAATCCCTGTAACGCCGAATTGGAGCGCAGCTCTTGAGGAGGAGTAGGGAAGGGTACTGAGGGGGGTCACGTTACCTGCGGGTAGTCACGTGACCCCGGGGGGGTCACGTGATCTCGGGGAAGGGGGAGTCACGTGACCTGGGGGGTCACGTGACCTCGGTAGGAGGGGATCACGTGACCTCGAGGGGTCACGTGACCTCGGGAGTCACGTGACCCCCCCCCCCCCGGTTACGCCGACGCCGACGCCGACGCCGACGCCGACGCCGCTCAGGCTGGAAACAGGCCCCTAAGAGCTGCGCTCTAAAATGAAAAAGATACGGGTTTTTGCCGCCTCTCAACTCGTGCATCGTCTTCCGGGTCACGTGCACAGTGACGTCACTTGAGTAGGCGCGGAGTTCCGGAAAAGTTCTCTCTTTAGGGCCATCAGCGAGCAGCGAGAGCTCATCCGCTCGCGACCGCGTGACCACCCGTCCTTGCCCGTCCGGCGCTGTCCCCCTCCCCCTCCGGCTTCTGGCGGCTGTTCGCGGTTTTGTGGACCTAGGATAGATGGCGCCACTAAAACTCCGTCTAATAAAAGTTTTGTCTGATCGCGCAGCGCGATGACCGACGTAGGTCGCAGGTAGAAAAGCGCTCCACTAGGCCTAACTTCCTACCCCAGCCAGCATTCGTTCGGCTGAAATCCGAACCCCACGGGGTTCCACCCCGGACCCCATCGACAACCCTGGACGACGCCGTAGCCGGGTATCCCGCTTCACCAGCGGACGCTGAGGACTAGGCCTCCCTGAACCGGAACTGCACCCCGAGAAGGGCATTCAATGGCAAGATCCGTGTCCTCACAAAGACGCAGGTAATGAACGAGGCAGCCAGGAATCCATACCCGGCACCCTCAACTGAAAACATCGCAGCGATGCAAAGCTCAGCGCAATCACCACTGAGCGTGGACCCAGCAAAATGGAAGATGTACCTTGAATTTCAGCAATTGCGAGAAACCTTCAACGCGTTTTTGCAGAACCAAGAAGAGGTAGCAGAATTCATGTCTCTCAAGCAAGAGCTAAAAGAGTACATGGCTCACAAGCGAGAAATTCAAACATTTCTTCAAAGCAAATCGAGCACGTCTTCCGAAGGCGAAGCAGCGGCAAATCCTCCTGAGAAAGACGACGACGTTGGAAACAATATGACACCAATGGAAGAAGACAAAGGCAACGACGGTGAATGGCAGCCCTCTCGTAGGCGCAAGCACCGCAGCTCAGACAATGCGCAGAATACTACATCACACACTGCACCCACGCAGACAGTTGTGCTCAAGCCAACCTGTAAGACCGAAGTATATAGGTTTACCGGGAGAGACATCTGTGCCGCTATTGAGAAGACCGGCGTGCGCAACAAAGATGGCTTCTCGGTACATATGAGCGAGAAATCCAACACGATTTCAATAACCACAAAGAATCCACTCATCACAAGTAAGCTGCTCTCCATCGGAGAAATAAAAAAGGCTGACAAGACGTATGAGATCACACCTTACATGGCTATGGCTAGCAATCAAGTCAAGGGAGTGATCTATCTGCACGGCTCCGACAATAAGGAAACGCCCGAAACTCTCATGCAAGACCTCATGTGTCGAACAAATAAGATTGTTGCGGCCAGAGTGATAGGCAGATCCGGCAGGACCGTCCTTATCACATTTGAAGGCAAGTCCATTCCAAGATACGTACGTTTCTTATACGAATCCTACCCAGTATCATCGTACAGACCACGACCCGTAGTCTGCTTCAACTGTCACGAAATCGCACATAAGTCAGATGTCTGTCCCAATAAAACTAGCCGTTGCGACAAGTGTGGACACGACCACAGCAAGGACAGCGACTGCGAGCTACAACCCAAATACAACAACTGCGGAGGCTCTCATGTGGCCACCAGCAATGATTGTCCCAAGCCAGGATTCCGCCGAAGAGGCGAACGGCGCACACAGCCACTCCTCCACAAGAGAACAAAACAAACAAACCGGCCCCCACAAAAGGAGCCTCGGGCCCGTCCCCAGTGATACCAACCACACCAAGTAGGGGAGCATGGAGCACTCCCTTATGTTTCACCGATACTGGCGCACCGGTGGTACTTGGCATGCCATCCAACATAGAGGCAGAAACACCCTCAGCAACCGTAGAGCTCGCCATCTGGCAAAGCAAGATAGAGGCAAGAATGACCTCCGTAGAAACTTCGATAAAAGAAATGAAGCAAATGTTAGGGACCTTATTGAGCAAGCTCAATGTATAATCAGTCCCATCAGAAGACACGCAATCACACCGACAAAAAGAAATGTATGCCTTGGATCATGCAATGGAACTGCAGAGGATTTCAAACCAAAGCTGCGGAACTTAAACTTCGATTTCAAGACAAGAGAGTAGAAAAACCAGCAATGATTCTCTTGCAAGAGGCGGATTGTGAGAACATAACACTTCCGGGCTATGTCACATTCACAACGCCCACCATAACAAGGCACAAAGGAGCCACGCCCCGTTCTTATGGTATCGCTGCAACACTGGTTCATAAAGGAGTACACCACGCAAAAATCGACACGTCAAATATCAGCGATAATAATAAAGAGGTGATCGGCATCAAGATCAAGATCGGTAGCAAGACCCTGAATGTTTTTGATGTCTATATCAGACCAACTATAACGGAAGACAAAGACTGCAAATGGCTCGACCAACTTTTAACGGACAAAACACCAACGATTCTTTGTGGCGATTTTAACGCCAGACACACGATGTGGGGATACAAAACGACGAACAGGAGAGGAACGTCCATCAAGAAGTTGTGCGAGACTCATAATCTCGTACTTCTTAACGACAAAGACACGCCGACAAGAATATCCCAAAACCCTTCGCAGGCCGACACGTCGCCGGACCTAACATGGGCCTCCAAGGGGCTCCGAATGTCCTAGACGCCTCGCCAGACTCCATGGACAGCGACCACGTTCCGATTCACATCGAACTACACAACCAGACATCACCGCGGAGGAAGACCCACTTCGTTAAATGGGACAACTTTCGAAAAGTCATCGCCAACCTCCCCGGCCAAGACTTAGCCCAAAAGATCCAGACGGCACTCGAGCAAGCCATGGAAACTTATAACATAAAAGACGACGTCCCAACCCCGGACCTCCATCTCTTAAACCTATGGGCAAGTCGGCTTCAAGCCCTACAACGCTACCGGAAGAAGAAGAGCTCTAAACAGCTACGAATCAAGCTTAACCTAGCCACAGCCAGAGCCAGACGCTACACACTTGAGCTAAGCCGGCATAGATGGAGGTCACACTGCAACTCATTCAACGAGAAAACGGGCCTGAAGAAAGTATGGCGCACGTACAAATGCATGGCGGGTAAAATTAGATCTGTGGGTACCAGCGGCAACCTAGCCTTCTGTCTAGGACTCACGGAAGAAGAGGTAGCAGAACTCGCGGGAGACATATTCTTTCCGCAGCCAACAACGGCACCCCCAGCGGACTGCTATGAGCCTAGCAAGATCAAAGTACCGACCGACGAGGATCTCCCATTCACCATGGGAGAGCTGCAGGCAGCTCTCGCCAAAGTAAAGGCGAACACGGCACCTGGGCCAGACCGAGTTACGGTTGCGGCGCTACGAAACCTGCCTGAGAAGGACACCGCCGACCTTCTAGACT